GTATCCTCTTGCCCAAGGAATCAAGCCTCACATAGTTCACCTAAATGGCCGTAAACGACCTCAATCAACTTGAAGGATTCTTAATCCTTCACCAACTTCACGATCATCACCAACAAATCTGCAGCTGATAACACCCCTGTTGTTCTCAAAGTGAAAAGACAAACTCTCTTCCAAACTTATATCTCTCCACACCAAATCTGTCTTGGAGCTTAACCCCCAACCATATATGTAGAAGAAACACAATTACCAAATACCTCCACCTGAGGTGAGCCAACGACCATAGTCAAATATGAACTGTGTCCACCTACTACACTTGAATCCTGATCTTCAAACTCATCATCTGTATCCACACTAATATGATCCCTAATCTGTGTCACCTCAGCTGAAATCCCAAATGATACAGAATGGTCTGGAGAACGTGGAGTAATCTCCACCCAACGTGAAGTAGCATTACTCGTCACCTGCTGCGATACATCTCTTATTTGACCAATACTCTCCACCTGCTGAGAGTCAAACGTGACATTACTACTCAGAACAATATTCTTGAAAACAAAATCTCATAACAAATAGCCAAACATGCCTCTGAATTCCAAATATGCACTCGGATCAATTTTCACATCCTCGATGTGACAATATGCTGGGAACCCAAAAATTCAAAGCAAACCAAAATCTAAAACAGCTCTAACAGACCTAAATACTCCAATCACAGCAGACGGCAACATATGAATAAGATGGCTCGAATATGTCAAAGCCTCAGTACCAAAACTCTTCTTCAAACTACTGCTTGACACCAAATACTGATCCTCCTCCAACAAGGAATAACTCATCAAATTTTCCACCTCATCTCTTTGCCCCAATGTTTTCTTTCCAATGAAGCATCTCAAACTGCCTTGAGCTCGGCACAAATACAGAAATGGATCCTTCTTGTACTTCCCACCAAAATCAAAATGGAGTACTCTATCCTTTCTGCCTATTTTTGTCTCTATACACTTCTTCTACTAGTTGTTGACTACTAGGACTTCACTCAAATGGGACTTGGTTGTAACCCAAACATGCCTAGAACAGTCATCAACAAAGAAAACCAAATACCTATTACCTCCCAATGATGCCTCCTTAGAAGGCCCCCAAACGCCCACGTGGACATCATCTAGAAGGCCTTTAGCTCGATGAATAGAGATGTCAAACTTTACCTCGGTCTTCTTGCTCACATCACTATGCTCACAAGATGTCAAATTGCAGGTCAAAGCACCTCTCACCAATCCTTGCATATCCGAAGCTTGCAAGGAACCAACACTAGAATGTCCCAGCCTCAAACACCATAGTCTAGCCAAATCAATAGAAGTCGTCAGCGCTCCACCTATCACCGTACTTCCAGTCTAGTAGTACAAGTTATTCTTCCTGACGTCCTTCATCACAATCATTGACCCATTTGTCACTTTCAGAATTGCATTCTCTAAGATCACCCTATAACCCGCTGCCTCCAAAGTTCAAAGTGAAATGATATTCTTTGTCAACTGTGAAACAAATCTCACTTCCTTCAGCTCCCTAGTCACCCCGTCACGCATCCTGATCCGAACTATTCAAATACCACTGATAGGGCATACATGATCATTACCCATGCGCACGATATCCTCTCTTTTCAACTCCTTAAAGTTGGAGAACCAATCTCTCCTAGGAATAATATGGTATGTAGCATCCGAATTCAACATCCACTCCGTAGAATCGGCATAACAAATTGACAGTAGTGCTGGGCATGAGTAGCCCGTAGAATCTGAATCTGAATTGTCGCCACTAGCTTTGGCAACATTCACCTCTGAAGCTTGTATGACTTTCCTCTTATTCTTTCTGACTCTATCCTTTAACTTTGGGCATTCAGACTTTCAATGTCCATCTTCTTTGTAAAAAACATATTGATTTCTACCAACTGAATGATGTTCTCCTCTAGACTACGACCTCCTATTTTGGTTTGGACTTTTCCCTCTTGCGGTCAATGCCTCCTCTATTGTATCATTTGAAGACTCATTGTCCTTCCTCCTTAGCTGATAATTCACAAGAGCAGTGATAACCTTACTATACGGAAGAGATGCATTTCCATTAATTAGGATAAGAACGAAGTTCTCATATTCCTCATTAGGCAAGGAACTCAAAATAACAATGCCTTGTCCTCATCCTCGGTCATGACATCCACATTCGTCAAATCCGCAAGAAGCTTCGTGTAGTTGTTCATGTGATCACTAATTGATATTCCCTTCTTCAACTGGAAACAGTAAAGTCTCCTCTTCAAATACAAGCGGTTCTCAACACTTTTCGTCAAATACTTGCCTTCAAGAATCTCCCAAATCTTCTTTGCAGAAGTCTTATTGATCACATCGTATTTTAGGTCCTGCGTTAAACAAGACCTAATCACACCACACGTCGTCCGATTCATCTTCTTCCAAACATTTTCTTTAATGTCGTCTGGCTTACCGTCCAACTCTAAAATGTCTTTCAAATTTTGTGTGTTTAGCACATCCAAAACTTCACATGTCCATAAGCCAAAGTTGTTCGTATTAAACTTCTTCACATCTATCTTCATAGAGTGGATATTCAAACTTTGAACGGTCTTCACGCCACAAGTATCACTCTCAACACCTTCTTTCTCAACCATCTTCCTCAAAACACCTACAAACTAATACGGAACAAACTAAAAAATAGATCCAAACTGCGAGAAAGGTAGATTTTTACTTCCAATTGAAACCCTAACAAGAGCTTCTAAAAGATCTCACCCTCACACGATGGAAGACAAGATCCACAATAGTAAAAACCCCACATTTGTCTCCAATTGAAATCCTAGACAAGCTTCCAAAACGATCTACTCCTCTACCTAACCTAAGCGTAGCCTGACGTTCTGATACCACTTGTTGAGCTTTGAAGCCTCTTTTTAGGGTTCGAGGAAACATGAAGTCACTAAGAGAGAAGGTCACACAAACACAAAATTAACAACACAAACACAAACAACGAATTTTACGTGGTTTATCAAGTTGCCTATGTCCACGGGGCAAGAAGGGAATGAGTTTTCACTAATAGAGAAGATAGTACAAATAGAGATTACAAAATCACTCAAAATCTCTCAAACAAAACTCTCAAATCTCTCACACAAACCTAGTACAAATAGAGATTACAAAATCACTCAAAATCTCTCAAACAAAACTCTCAAATCTCTCACACAAACCCCAAACAAATTGCTCAGAAAACTCTACTCAAAATCTCTCAAACAAAACTCTCAAATCTCTCACACAAACCCCAAACAAATTGCTCAGAAAACTCTCTTTTCTGTGCACCAAATAACTTATTTTCAACCTTACCTAACCCTAAAAAACGTGTTTCAATATATATCAAAACACAGACCAAATCAGAACAGGAAACGAGGCACAGGCCCAAACCTGACAGGCGGTCGACCACTGAAGTCTTCGCGGTCGACCGGACAGAACACATAAAATTCACTTTGAGTTTACAGGTTCTGCGGTCGACCGCCAAAGTCTTCGCGATCGACCGAACAGAAATCCAGAACCTACTCTATACTCGTGCACGTTTCCGATCGACCGCACCCTTGGTTGCGGTCGATCGGGAAACCTCCAAATTGTTTCCTTCGTCAAATTTTCTGAACTTCAACCCTGTTTTTGCCGTTTCTACAACAGAATTATTATAAACCTATACTACTCATGATGCAAATTCCACGTATTAAAAGATCTTTAAAAAGAAAGGACATACAAATATCCCTTGGGAGCCACTTTGCTTTATGTAGAATTCTCCATGAAGCTTAGATACCTGTAAATTCTCCAATTCTTTGATGGAAAGGCTGCAAACAGATTTCGATTCTTTCATTCCTCTATGACTCACTTTATTTTATTCTTTCGATGTTTATAACCTCTGTTGCATGTTTAATTCAATCATTTATAATTATGTTTATATATAGAAAGTGTCAAAAATGTGTGCATATTTCAAATGTATACGATAGAGAGGGGACTCTGATCCTTTGCAGAAGAATAAGAAAAAGAACTCAGCAGACAAAACATAAACATAACGTAAAGATAAAGAAAAAAGGTAAAGTTTGTGGAAGTAAAGCTTCACCTGTGAAATGAAAAAACCATGAAGAATCTTCAGAAATAATCCACTAGAAGAACGTGTTTGGCACTGCTTTACAATTCGGCTAGGTTAAAATTGGGTGTTTCTGCGCTTGGTCGAACAATGGGTTAGCATTGATGCAGTTTTTGTAGGTCAAATTTTTGCCATCACACCAGTTATGATTAGACCACCCCTTTCCTGGTTCAAAGTAGAACTAGTTTAGTATAAAACTGGATCATGACGGGTTCTGATTCAGTTTTGGGTGGATTACCAAACACAACCTAAATTAGAAAAGAGAAAAAAGAAAATGTGAAATGAACTGACTGAAACATATAATTGAGATTTTTCTGCTATTAAAATTGAGAATGAGCATAATTTATAATGGTATGATGACAGTTACAGTTGGAACCGGTGATAAGTGTCGCGGAGAATACTATATGAAGAACTGAATAGATAAGCGCACAAAATATATAAAGCTGACATTTATGTACCAAACCTTTTCTTGAAAGTACTTCAAATATATTGCTACATCTAGCTCAGGCACCCATCGTTTAAAAGGCTCCCATCATTACCATAAATATCTAAATAAAGAAGCATATAGTATAAGAAAACATCTCTTGGCAAGCCACTCTGCTTTCTAGATGCAGCCCTCCGCAGGACGCTTAAGATACTAGTATTCTTTCCCATTTCTTTTGGTTGAAAAGCTGCAAATAATGTTTCTTGGTTCTTTATTCCTTTCTTATCTGAATCTGATGTACTTTTTTTAATTCTTTTCATTGTTTTTGTACCTTGCTTGCACGTTTAACCCATTCATTTATATTCATTTATATTATATCTAGAAAGTGCCTAAGATGTGTGATCCTTGGCAATAATACATTAATACAAAGAGGAGGACAGTGATCCTCCGCATAATAAAAAAAAGATACGAGCTCCCAGTTACAAATGCAACATACAAACCAAACACAAACTGAAATAGTTAAAACAATCCAAACAAACCAGGAACTCAAAACACAATCAGTATCTGAAGACACATTCAGATATAATTCAAACCAGACTTAACCTTGGTATATCTGCATCCCGGAAAACACAGTCTGCAGAATTGTGAGCACAATCACCAGCAATGCACCAGCCAGAGACAGCAAGGACCAAGGATTCCTGAAATAAGTGTGCAGCAAGTTTGCGCGCCATTTGTTCCACTTCCTCTGGCAATATTTCTGCACTTCCTCACGAACTTCATTCAGACTACACTTAGGATCGACGGTCACCTCCTTTGTTATCCTGTTGTTGAACAGCCCAGCGACCTGCTTGTCGCTCCCTAGAGAATTCTGTATGATACCTCGGGAGTGCAACAAACTGACATCTGCAGCTGAATCGATAATTTCATCCATGAAACAGACATAAGAGGTGATGCCGTTGTCTATGTTAGTACGAAAATGCTCAAAAACCACCATATTGCGTAGCATGCATTCTGTAGCATCATGGACGACAAGCTCAGGGAGGTACAGGATGCCCTTATTAGGATCAAAGTGGATGTCTCTGAAGCTTTTGGTTTTGCTTTTACGGAATCGGACTCCAGCCTCGCGCAGCTCTACAGCGCTACGGATCACACCGCTAGCCCCTTCTTTCCCAGACTGCTTTGTTGTTTTGTTTTGGGTCAGCAAGCTGTGGCGGAGGAGATCGAGCGCGTGGGCTCTCAGTCCCATTTTCTTCACTTGTTCATCTCCACCTTTTAAAAACTTAAGCACTAAGTTGTGGATATAGTCGTCGATATCCTGCATGCTCAGCTAAAATCATCATTTGTTTGTTCGATCTTTTAATGCGGTCTGTAGTGTGTGTACATGTGTGTGTGTCTGTTAAAAAAAAAGATAAATGGGGGCTGGTGTGCCTCTATCTGCCCTCTGCAGTTAGTTGGCGTGTTTGCTGACTCGTGCACATCTCAAAACCAAAATCATCAATATATTCATATCACAGTTGACAATATAATGTGCAAGATGTCAGCGACACACCAGCTAATTACATTGTGTGGCGAACCAACCACCATTTACATTTTTAGGGATTAAGGATAGTTACCTCATGGATATCAGTGCGTCCGACAGAAACTAGAGTCTTCAGTAGGAGCAAAGGCAGTTGGTTTTCAATCAGTTGCATATCCCTCCTAATGTAAGGCATTGTATGATTAACCCCATGTTCACTAAAGAAAGGATCGGTGGGAGAGTAGGCCTCAGGGTCGGTGGGAGAGTAGCTCTCTCCATGGTTTACCGCATACTCAAGTATCTCTAGCATGAAACATCCGTCAGTAATCATAAGCTTCAAGAAATGAGAAGGACCATCTCTATCACTCTTCCATGTCTTATCGAGGCGATAATAGGAATCTTGCAGCTCCTTCATCACCTTATCCACTGCGGCCACAATGTCATCAAGCGTCTTGCCTGCTTTCCTGCCTGCTTTCCTAACGAAGTGAATGAGAGCTCTCTCCTTGTGGACTTCCATTTTCTTCAGTTCTTCATTGTTGTGATGGTAAGGGCCAAATGAGACTAGCTCGGGTGTGAAAATCTCGTGAGAGATGTCCCTTACAAAGGCAGGGACCCTATATATGGACACATCCTTCCACGACAGCTCCTCTAGTGAAAGGTTGGGATTGTTGACACTGTTTTGCATCTTCTCCATCCACTTCTTCATGTTAGCGGTCAGGCCGGTTGTATCGCATCCACACTCAAGGTCGATAATATCCATGGCAAAGCTTGAATTTTCTGAAGATCTTCAGAGGCCTATATAACATACTATGACCGGATGTACGTAGCTTCTAGTACTGTCAAAGATAGAAACAAAAGGATCAAAGAGAAAAGAAACAAAAGGTTAAAGGAACTTGGAATTTGTGGCTTTATAACCGAGGGTGGAAGGTACATTCCAGGCTTTAATAAACTTCTATGATACATATAAATGATATAAATGAAGGAGACAAGTTAGAGCATCTCCAACAGCTTCCCCATCTTCTTGGTATTCTAAAATTTGGAGAATTTTGAGCTTTTTTTGGTCCAACAGATTCCCCATCTCATTCCCCAAAATGGGGATAGGAGAGAAAAAATAGAGAGCCTTCCCCAAATCTGCAGCATTCTGCAAATATTTGGGGAAGCACTTTTTCACGTTCTTCTAGACTCAACCCACAAAAAACAACTTCATCTCCTCATTATAATAATAAATAATTTGGTCAAAATGGGGATTCTTCAAAATAATAAATAATTTATTATTTATTAGTCAAAGATGTAGAATATTTTTATTATTGTAATAAATGCATGATTCTTCAAAATGGGGAAGCTGTTGGAGTTGGAGCAAAAATAATTTGGAGAATATGACATTTGATTCCCTATTTTGGAGAAATTTTTGGGGAAGCTGTTGGAGATGCGCTCTTAAAGAACTCAGGAAAAGTATGAACGACGACTGTAATATTTTTAAATGCATGACAAAGATTGAGAGGGAACATTGATTGCTCAACGAGGTATACGATATTACAAAAATTTGATTTCATATACAGAACATAAAGGAAATAAAACATCTTGAAAATTACATTCTCGGTCTACTAAATGTGGAAGCCGGTGAGTAGGAAGAAATGTGTGAAGGAATGACGTAATAAATTATTTTATTGTCATGTTAGCTGTAAGTCGTAAAGCGTGATCTCAGATTTTATGTAGGACCTGCTCAATAAACCTGCGCTCTGCGATCGACCCCATTTATTTGGAAAAAGAAAAAGGTAATATGATGAGAGTGATAAGGACCACAGAGTGATGAATGATCGATATTACTGGGGGGGACAAAGAAAGGAAAATGATTGGAAGCACTGTTCAAAATCTTTATTCTCTCAGTCACTGTCAAGACATCTTTAAATATTACTAAAGTGCTGAAAAATAGAGACATCGAATTAACATGTCAATTCTCCTAGACTCCAATGTTGGGACAAACCCGGGGCCCAATAAAGCAGGATCGCAACAATAGTAGTGAAAATAGTGATAAAAAAATGAACACACGGATTTACGTGGTTCGGCACAAAATTGCCTACGTCCACAGGCAAAGATAGAAGAATCCACTATGAGGAGAAAACTCCGGAGTTACAATCTCTCTTTATAAGGAGATACTCTCTCTCTATTTTTTTCTCTTTCACTCTTCTATATGAGGAGTTATTTCTGGGATGATTTTTTCCTTAAGGATTTAGAGCCTATTTATAGTGTTTGGAAAAATACTATGCACAATAAAATATTAATATATTTACTATGTTGTGGGGCCCACCATTTTTGTTTTCTTTCATTTGTCAAAAGTTTAGGCTGCCAAATTCTTGATTTTCAACAAAGGTGGGCACAGGTGGGCGGCTGACAATCTCTCACTTGAAGATTTGATTGAGTATCAATCATATCTGCACACCATTCTTTCTATCTTGTCATCTTCATGTTGCTTTACGTCTCCGTCAGACCACAAGAGGATCGACACCAAATAAATTTGTCAGTACTGATTGCTTTTGTCAAAAAATCTGCTAGGTTGTCTTTGGTGTGAATTTTCTGCATATCCACTGTTCCTTATTCCACTTTCTCACGAATGAAGTGGTACTGAACTTGAATGTGTTTGGTCTTTGAATAAAAGGCTGGATTTCTTACCAAATGCAAAGCACTCTGACTGTCACAAAATAAAGATATCTTCTTTTGTTCATAGCCGAGTTCCTCCATCTGACTGTCACAAAATAAAGATATCTTCTTTTGTTCATAGCCGAGTTCCTCCAGCACCATCTTCAACCACATCGCTTCTTTATTGGCTTGTGTAGTTGCTACATATTCTTCTTCTATTGTTGAAGTAGCCACAACTGACTGTAGTTTTGAAACCTAGCTTACAGCTCTGCCAGCAAGTGCAAACACATAGCCTGTGGTGGATTTGCTATTATCACGATCACTTGTATAATCAGAATCAACATATCCACTGATAATAAAATCAGATTCCCTATAACATAATGCAAAATTTAAGGTTCCTTGAATGTATCTTAGAACCCTCTTTATAGCATTCCAATGCTCTTTATCAGGATTTATCATGTATCGACTAACCACTCCCACTGCTTGTGCAATGTTTGGTCTTGTACAAATCATAGCAAACATTAAGCTTCTCATTGCTGATACATACGGTACTCGAGACATCTCCATCCTCTCTTCTTCACTGCTAGGACTCATACTGAAGGATAACTTAAAATTAGCAGGAAGTGAGGATAGAAATTAACTTACAATCTTGCATGTTAAATCACCGCAAGATTTTGTTCAAGTAATTCTTCTGAGAAAGCCAAATCTTCCTATTAATCCTGTCTCGATAAATTTGCATCCCTAAAATCCTGTTTACAGATCCTAAATCCTTTATTTTAAATTCCCTAGCCAACTCAGCCTTTAATTCTTTGTTACGATCTTTATTGGGGCCTAAAACCAATATGTCGTCAACATACAATAATAAGATAACAAAGTTATTTTCACCAAACCTCTTGAAATATGTACAAGGGTCTGAATTAAGTCTGTTGTATCCAAGGCTCATGATGAATGAATTAAATCTCTTATACCAATACCTCGACGTCTGCTTTAGACCATACAGAGATTTGTTTAATCTGCAAACCAATTTCTTTTTTTCTTTTTTTTCAAAACCTTCTGGTTGGAGCATGTAAATCTCTTCTTCAAGATCTCCATGAAGAAATGTTATTTTTACATCTAGCTGCTCTAGATATAAGTCAAATATAGCGCTCATATCCAGGACTATTGGAACTATTGTAAGTCGAACTATAGGAGAAAATATTTCATTAAAAAATCAATACCTTCTTTCTGAACATATCATTTTACCACCAATCTAGCACGATATCGCTCTACTTGATCATCGTCATTTCGCTTAATCTTATACACCCATTTATTTCTAATGGTCTTTCTTCCTTGTGATAGTGACACAAGTACCAAAGTCTTATTTTTATGGAGAGATTCAATTTCTTCCTATATTGTTGCCATCCACAAAGATGCATTTGTGCTAGTTATAGCTTCATAAAAAGTTGATGGCTCTCCATCCTCTGTTAGAAGATAGTATGCAATATTACTCTCCGTAATATACTCCGAGTACCAAGTCCGTGGTCTTCTCTCACGAGTTGACCTTCGAATTTATGGAGCCTCGGACTCGACCGATTCTTGTACATCATGCTCTTATGTTGCTTTCAGAAGAATTTGGATTATCTTCTACCTGAACAGCTACAGTCTCTGAGTCCTTCCTCGAACTTCTTTATTTCTCTTCACTTTGTAGCTGGTTCTCTACAAAGATAACATCTTTGCTGATGATAACCTTGTGGGCAGTGGGATTCCACAGGCGATATCCCTTTACTCCATCAACATACCCCAAGAATAAGTATTTTCTATATTTTGAATCCTGCTTTGTAATTTCTTGGGTATTGTACATTACGTACACTAGACTTCCAAATATATGGAGGTTAGAATAATCAGCTGGCTTGCCAGTCCACATCTCCATCGGTGTTTTCAACTGTATTGTAGTTGATGGAGATTGATTCACCACATAACAGATAATTTTTACTGCTTCCGCCCAAAAGACTTTACCCATATTTGCAGTTGCCAACATAGCTCCTATTCTTTGCAACAGAGTTTTGTTCATCTGCTCCGCCACTCCATTTTGTTGAGTAGTATAAGCCGTACTGAATTGTATTTTGATGCCTCCATGCTTGCAAAATGCTAGGAATTCACCGTCTGTGTATTCTCCTCTATTATCTAACCTCAAGCATTTGATCTTCTTCTCAGATTCAAGCTCAACCCACACTTTGTAGGTTTAAAAGACTAAAAACACATCCGCCTTCTTCTTGATAGGATACACCCAATATCTCCTGGAGTAATCATCAATAAAGGACACAAAATATTTTGCTCCTCCCAAGGATGTAACCGGTGCTTGCCATACATCAGAATGAACCAGATCTAGAATAGCCTTACTTCTAGAACTCAATGTGTTGAACTTTAGTTGATGCTGCTTGCTAGTAACACAATGCTCACAGAATGAAAGAGCTACCAAATTAAGTCCAGGAAGCAGCTTCTGATCAGAGAGAATCTTTAAGCCTCGTTCTGACATGTGGTCTAGTTTGCGATGCCACATCATGGTTTATTCTTCTCCATGGCTGGTTGATGCCACACATCAATCAGTTTCCTACAGAGTTTCTCTCTTGAGTATATACAGATTTGTAGCTATTTTTTCTCTTTTTATTATCACAAGCGCCCCTCTAACAATCTTCATGATCCCATTTTCTATATGGGTCTTGCACCCGAGCTCATCTAATTGTCCCAAAGACAATAGACTATTCTTTAAGCTCTTCACATGTCGTACATCATGAATGGTGCATATTGTACCATCAAACATTTTAATTTTGATAGTGCTAATACCAGAAATCTCCATGACATGATCATTCCCCATGAATAAAGATCCTCCTGAGATAGGTTCATATTTGTGAAACCATTCTCTCCGAGAGGTCATGTGCCAGGAGGCTACTGAACCTAGAAGACAGACATCAGCAAACCTCTATCTGCCTTTATCAACAGTGGTTGCTCAATTGAATAGAATTTCACCATCGTCTGATATGCTGATAATGCATCCTTGAGATGTTGATGGCTCTAAAGACTTTTTATCTCCACTCTTCTTATTATGCAAACACTCCAATTTGACGGGCCTTTTTTTGCCACAGT